TGAACTTTTCCATCCTGATTAACGAGAAACAAACAAATTGATTTTCAGCCACATAAGGGTTGGAAAACGAGGCGGATTTTCCCTCCTCTGTTCACAGTGAGAATTTCCCCGTGTAGGCAGTCTTTCCCCTCCCTCTCCAACTATGAATGATACTGACTAAACACGGCTGAAGAAATGTTAACTGCCACCTAAAAACGAACTCAAGAAAACGACAGTGGAAACAACACTGAAGGTTTGTTAAATGGATGAACAAGTGAAATATTTCGATGCACAAAGAAAGCAAATGAATATTTCAGTAAATAACGACAAGCAATGCTCGCACAATCAATGCGATAGTGTCAAAAGTAGTGAGCAATAAATGATTAGAGGGCAAAGACGAACCGAATATCTCTGTGCAGCAATTCGAGCATTTTTGGCGATCGGTGCCGCGAGCAGCGTGATATCGAACGGATCAATTGTTGACTCAATGGACGCAATCAACGAACGAAAACGTTCACAATGAAACATTAGATTCAGCACTCGCAAATCGAACAGATACTGCAGTGATATGCGTGATATTATCGACGTTGTTCGTTGTTGTGAAGGAGGATTGTGTTCGTTATTCGTTGCTGCCGAAGATACGCACCTTTCGTAGACATCGCATAAATGCGAACGAAGTGTTTCACCGATATGCGAACGAATTGTCCGAGTGCACAGATGCGATATTGACTGATCACTTATCTTAAGTTGTCTCTTTATTAGTTCATTCGAACCAAAAAACTGCAGTTATTATTTCAGTGAAACGGAAGGAAGGGTAGAAGAAAAGCTGTGAATGGCCGATATTGTCATTAGGAAAATGACTGAACGTGCATCAAAGTAGCCTCTGGTTTCCCTAACCAAATAATCATTTCTCATTTCTATTTGGTTTAATTTCAGTGATCCATATAAATAACCGCAGTTGGATGAAATTTAATGACGTGAGTCATTTCGTCAGATGAAATAATAGCTGGCGATAAGTAATGGTTAAATAATAACAATGATAACGGTATTCAACTGATTACGAAGTTACCGAACATCCGACAAAGTTGATTCAGCGACCGAATGGTAAATTATAACTACTGACAAATAAACTGAACCGATTTCACAACTTAACAATAAAATGAAAGCAA